GTGGTAGGTGTCACCAACTCGTCCTTCCATATAAGCTGACTGAGACGCTCTTCGCAACTGCCTCGATCACTCACCACCAATCTCACATGCGCCAAGCCAAGGGAAGGGAGATTCACTGTGACAGCACGACGCAAGAAATCAAGTCGCAACCGATAGTTATGCCACCGCCTAGTCAAGCAGACGCGACCCGACTACCCCTGTATCCAATGTATTACTCCCGCCCATCGGCAACGTCACCTGGACAGACGGATGACATCCCACGCATCTTGGTCAGCTCTACAGCACATGAGTTGCCTCGCTCAACCCACATTCACAGCAGGCTCTGCAGCACTGGCCACGCAGCGACCAGGCCTTGTAGTTGCCTAGGTGCTCGGCTGTGGTCGAAAAAAAAAGTTAACGATCACAACTGCACACGGGACGGAGATGAGGGCATGGTATTTTGCAAAGACGGGAGAGCATTATGCGCATGTCATATGGGCCGCGCAGCGCACCAATGAGGTCACCCAGACTCATAATTTGAAGGCGTCGCGCTACATCCCAGACCACGCGAGCATGCGAGTTTTCCCCTGAGCCTCCCGCTGTCGTCGCGTCCACATGCCCACCCTTTTCGGTTGTTGGTGACATGAAACGCTCGGTCCTGCGAAGTAGAACACCCTTCCAGGAAGATGCTGTTGCGTGACGTCTACGGGAAACCGGAGAGCGGGAGATGGACAGTTGCACGTGGTGCTTCCTGGCGAAGAATCGAATAGTTCAGGTACCCGGAATCGTGGCTTGAATGCATCTTATCGGTACGACCAGGCGCACTCCAGATCCAGGGCTTCGGAAGCAATCGCAAGAACGTTACACGGGAAGAAGAAAAGAAGAACTCCTAGCACCACATCCCGTTTGCAAATCGACTGCGCAGGGTCCAATGCGACGAGACGGACGCCACACGCATCCCCCAATGACGCCAATTTCGCAGTCTGAGGGTTGAGTCCAATCGGCGAGGCCAAAGCGCATGCCACTAGAAGAAGTCTCGATGTTAGCATCAAAGTCCCACTGATCGGGGAGCTACTAGGCTGGGCGGCTTGGTAACATGCGCTGGCCAAACACAGAGGATGATGCGCGCATTCTCATAAGATTTGGTCGCGCACTGCGAAAGTTTGCGGTGGCAACTATCGTATGCTGTGCACAGAGGCGTGATGAGCGATCACGTCTCACAACGCCCGTTGTGGAAACATAGGAGTGCGCGAACCCGCTTTTAGCAATGCCGGGTTGCGACTCAGTCAAACTTGTCAACTTTGTCGACTACCAGAGTTTCGGCGAATCTAGCTTCTAGCGCTACATCTGTACCGTTATACGGCGCGTAGGAAGCGTTTGAGCTAGTAGCCCAGCTCCAGCGCACATTCGTCCCAAGAACGAGATATTGCGCAGAAGGTTTCGATGTTTGCACGCTTGTTGGTAGGCACATGATCGATCATCCATCCGCGGGGACAAGATTTGACTTTCGGTCGTGCTGAGACTCTGGTGCTGATATGGCAAGTACACCGTGTAAGCACTCACGCAGCATATCGTGTCCGCGACTCATCTTTGGCCTTGACGGATGTCGTCGGAATAGGCCCTTCCTGTTTTCTTCATCCGCGGAAACTCCCCAGTCTATACATAGGGGTTGAGTTCAACTGTGAAGACCCTGCACACAACCTATTCGGCCGAGTAATAGCCATTCGTCTTTATCAGGCTGGCTGACACGGGATGAGTCCGATGAGTCCGGACTTCTAATCCCAGGGACCTGGCAATGGTGGCGCTTTACCCATCTTGGCTCGCACTCGAAGATGTCGTAGGCGGCACATTTGCTTTTGCCGTTACTGCATGCTAGGTAGGCCGTAGCCTGGGCGCCATCAGCTCTTCTTTTGCCTTACCCACCAGTTCGACGTTATTACACTGACTCGCGAGCCACAAAACTACTCCCAGTGGTGAGGGCATGGAGCAAAGCTTTTGGGGAGGACATGTTTGAGAAGGCCCAGGCTTAAGCGATAGTTGCAAAGTTTGGTACGCATGGTGACGACGGAGGGCGGGCGCGCGCATCCTGACCGCCCATCAGGACGCTGACGGCCGCTGATTGGACCATTGGCGTTCATCTGCTCGCTGGCATTATGCATGCAGCGTCGATCGCGTACAATTATGAAATTTGTGGCTTTTTAAAACAACATTGTGGCTGTCTGAGAGGACGTCACTCTTGCAGCTTCTCGAAGCAGCTTCTTGACCGTCGCTCGCTTCGGTTCTCCGCCCGCACTTGCGAGCGTTAAGCTTGAGATGCCTCGCATCGCTGAAACACCAAGGCAATCTGACAAGGCAGGCGTGTCGAGTCCTCATTTCCCAACGGCTGCACCGCAATGTGACATTTGACCGTCGGCGCCACGCTGTCTCGTAGGAAGCCAAAAGGCAGGCGAACAGGGCAGAGATTTGCAATTGTGAAGGGAGCTTAGCCGGGTCCAGACGATCGACACGGGTTCTGCCCAGATTGCCGACTCCTCATGGCGCGTGGGCCTAGTGCACATCTTGATGTCCCGGCATGCTAGCGTCTACCGTCCGTCGCGATGCCGTCTACTGTACGGCCGCGGTGGGGCGCACCTACTTGTCGGCGACCTCGAGGATCCCATGTGCGACCAGGCGTTGACGTCCCCACGCTACAGCTGGCTCATTTGGGATAATGCCCGCAGGCGGCAGGAAGCTGTGAAGGTGGAGAGCCATGTGCCTGCCACGAATGGGGACCGCTTTCTGTGAAGACTTGGTGGAAATACGGCCATGCCGAGCAGGCGGGTATAAACACGGCTGCTCGACCGTGTCTTTGCTTTCCTTACTTTACCTCGCCAGAGGCCACGCGCAAACTTCCTCTACCTCCATCTCAAGCTCCGCTTGCCCTCACTAGTTAGATCCACGCTACCACCCTGTCCTGCGGCAATCGGTCTCAGCGCTCGACTACTGGACGACTACGCAAGTAGCTTTCTTCCAGATCTTCTGCTAGCTCAGTCTCACTACTCCACTCGCCCCATCCGCCGAGTAGCTATATAGCATTCCATCTCCACGCGCGGCACGGTGCGTGTAAACGGTTGCTCCTGCCATCTTCACCAAGCGACCACGTGCTGTCGTCACCCCACAACACCACGTTCCTTCCGCGATTAGATTCGACCCCAGATCCTGCCCAATATGGTCTACTCACTATCTTATCGCCGCCCAGAGCGAGCTTCTCGACCCGGCACTGCCTCTTCCACCAACACCGAAGACAAGCGAAAGTCGATCAATGCATCCATCAAGTCCGGCAGCAGCGGCATGTCCCACGGTATTCCCGAGGCCTTGTCCTTTGACACCATCATCGCTGGCGGCGCTTGCCCTGTACGTTGTCACTGTCATGAGCATCATCTTTCCAAGTACCTTCACTGACATTTCCCAGCCCTGCACTGTCCGCGACTTCATGAACTTCCTCAAGTACATCGAACTGTCGGCCGAGAACTTGCAATTCTTCCTCTGGTACCGCGACTACGTCAAGCGCTTCAATGCGCTGCCGGAAAGCGAGAGGGTTCTGTCTCCCGAGTGGACTGGCGAAAAGACCCCCGAAGCCAGGCCTGGCACCGTCAGCTACAATGCCGACGCTGCAGCCATGCTCAAGGGCACCGACTTCGCCAACGAGGGCAAGGTCGCTGATTCGGAGAAGGGTAGCAACAACCCCTTCTTCACGCCTCCTCGCACGCCAACCAGCGTCGAACCCAGGCGCGATTACTCTCTTGACTCGTACGACGATAGCATGACTACCGGCAAAGTTGACCACACTCAACGTGCTGCTGGTGCGTTTGATAACGCAGGACTAAAGTGGAAACCACGTGAGTATTACCTTTGCTAATTTTCTTCATTCGCCTCTAGGGTCCAATCGCTCATCCACCACAGTATCCGTCCAGCCGTACCGGGAAGAGATCAACCGCATCATCTCCATCTACATTGCCGACAATGGTTCGCGACAGCTGAACCTTTCGTCGAAAGAGCGCACAGCACTGCTACACGCTCTGCAAAATACGACGCACCCGTCGGCATTTACCGACATCATCACCACCGTCGAGTGGTCGCTCCGTTGCCAAGCGCACCCCAACTTTGTTCGGTGGACCATATGCAATGGCAACCGTCCGCGTGTGATCTTCGCCCGTGGCCTCGGTATCTTCGGCATAGTTGCTGGTTTGATCGTCGCGATCATCCTCACCCTCAGCAGCGCCGGTCGTGCATGGCGCGTCATCTCCCTCATCGGCTTCTTCATTGGTATCTCAACGTTGATCGCAGCCTGGAAGGGCATGTGTGTCGTACTTCACGGCATGCACCACCGGCATCTGCGACCATGGGAGCTCTTCGCTTCCGATGACGAGCCGCAAAGCTACGACTTCAAGTCTGACTCCTTCCAGAGCGTTGACTCGCACGCGTCGAGCAACTCTTGGGAGGACGAGCCATGGGTCGCCCGCTACGAGAAGCGCAATGTCGTGAGGAAGGTGTTTGACCGTGAAGTCTGGATTCAAGAGCCTGCTCTCCGCCAGATCCAGGATACCATCTTCATCCAAGCCATTCTCGGCGCCCTTCTCATCTCCGCCGTCGCTGTCGGCATCTTCTGCGCCATTCCCAAGGGCAACTACTTCTAAGTGCGGCGACGAACCATCAAGCCACACTCCTATCTTCTTAACCCGAATTCCCATCCGAGCGATTTCTTCTCAATTCCCCCTTTGGCTCTATGCAAGCTGCTTCTGATACCCATGTACATGTGTTTACGACACACAAGTGCGCGCGACATTTTGGTCCGTCTGTGCGAGAATAGCGATTAATGGGACATGTTGGTTCGGCGCCGGCGTCTGGATTAGCGATATGATCTACTATGTAACCGATATTTCCTTACGATATAAATCCTTAACGGAAAGAAGAAGATACCTGGAAGAATGAGACGAAAGAAAAGTTTCCTTCTATATAGTCGATATATGCAGATTATGTCTTTATGGATGCAAGACTTTGATATCTCCCGTTGTCCACAACATCCGTGCGTTCCATGTCGTGATCTTCCACAATCCTCCGTCGTCCTCATCTTTGAGCAGCTGCATGTCGTACAGCGAACTGGCCGTATAACTCGTATCAGCTGCCACAAACGCCTCTTCTTCTCTCACATGATAGGAAATGACATGCGCCGTCATGCGCGCAAAGGTCGCATTCTCGCTCTCCGCTTCTATCCTCACATTGCTCACAGTGTGTGTAGTGACGAGGCTGTAGACGCGATCGAACAGTGGGTTGATCGCGTCGAAGCCAGTGACGGTTTGTTGGGCGCCCAGCGGCCCGTAGGTAAATGTCATCTCGGGTGTTTTGTGACAGGCGGACTCTACGAGGGAGCGGTCGTTGCTGTCTAGGCCGAGGGTCAGGCGATGGAGGGTGTCGGTTATGGATTGGTGGGTTGTGAGGTTGGGTAGGTTGACGGTGGGAGTGGGGGCGGACATGTTTGGGATTGAGTCAATGAGGTTTGTTGGTTGACTGCTGTTGCTTCTTCTGGTATTTGAGTCGTATGCAGTCTTACCTTCTCTCTACAGCTTATATACGTAGTTGTTGCTACAGCATACCATACCTAGGTAGGACGGGGCGTATCCATGCCGCGGACACAACGTGTCAGTATGGAGTTATCGGGCTTACGACGCTGGTTCACACCAGTTCAAGCAGAAAATGTGGAATCCATCGGATTTAACAGAGATAGCTGTATCTTTTGGCATAGTAGGATTGCAGAGTTCCGAGTCTCTCCTGCGACTGGTATATATATCGGTGGTTCAGTGCTCCGTCTTCGGCGGCTTCCGGGAACGCCTTGCACAGCCACTTTCTGCCTGCAGCTCCATGCGTCACGCGCCTGGCTTGATTACAACGACTCAGTTCTGTGATTACGAGAAGGTATGGTTCTTTGAGTACGAGCAGAGCCGCATATCCGGTGAATGCTTCACTTGGTTGTGAGCTTGTGATTTTGCATACCGGTCGGTTCAGTCGTGTAGGCAGTAGAAACCTTGGAATGGAGGCGCGAGGCAGACTGTGACCGGATGGAGGCTGAAGACGACGGTCAGTTTCTTGCGCCTTGGAAGTTATTCTGCAACTGCGTGATGTGTGGAATCATGTTCTCTATTATGATATAGGGTTGAAAGGTTGGTGAGGCACGTGGTGAGGTGGCTGCAGCCTGTGTGGCTGTGCTAAGTGCCGTTTACCGCTGTTCCGGAGGCTGCCGGTCGTGCGAAGAGGGGAGGTTTTGAAGTAGACATGGGCGCGAGGTAGTTGTATGTATTACGATTATATGAGGATAGGTGTATGATGTTATTGAAGGGTCGTGTTCTATATTTGCATGTGGGCAGGTAGCGGCTTCCCAAATCTGCAGATCTACAGTCGATGCACCACAAACCATGGCCATAATATGGCATATAACTATTGGATCTATACAAGAAAAGAATCGGCCAGGTACCATGAAGTCATAGTGCAACTGTGCAGTAGCATCATGGCGAATGCTGCTATTTTTCGCTCAGACAAGGGTTTAGAAGATGCTAGAGGGAACTATGATGCTTGATACGACACTTCGATAATACAGGTACAACACTCGCATGTTCACACGAGCAAATGCGATGAAGATGACTGTGTCGTGACGATACTTCCAAGGAATAACCCAGATATCTCAGCAAGGCGAAGATGTGCGAACAGGCGGTGGGCGTTGAACAGAGGACGGGAAGCGAGCAAATAGGGCTTTACCGGCGGTGGGGACAGTGCAGGGCGAAGGCGCGAGGAAGCCGCGACCCGCAATTCACAGACGGCTACATGCGTCACCTAGCATCTTTGTACATCCAACATGGCCGTTGTTGCCGCACTATGTAAACCTGCCCTCTCCGCTATCTTCGTCTTGTTACTCTTGAGGCCGCCCTAGCTAGTTGCCCAAGCTGCATGCTCGCCAAAGCCACTGCCTAGCCTCTCACTGCTCGCCTGACCCTCGCTCACGTACGCCCATACATGTCTTACGAATACGACAGCCGGTACCACCACCGCCCGCGCCATGACTCCCACTATACATCAAGAGAGACGGACCCCTATGGCTATGCGAGGAGCGACAAGACTCTAGCGGAGGCGCGCGAGCAGCTGGCAGACATGCGCCAGAGCAATCCATACACTTCGTCCTACACGCCGTCCTACAACACCTACACCTATGAGCCCCGCACTTCTCCACCCCTGCCACCTCGACGACCCGCGCCGCATTCGTACAGGTCGCACAGGCAGGAGCAGACATGGCCGCCGTCACCGAGCGTCGAGGACGAGAGGGAGGCGCTAGCAAAAGAGGCGCCGTCCTCCGTGGGGTCGTCAGGGCAGGCCGAGGGTGAGCCGCCGAGCAACACGCGGGGCACCGTCGACCAAGACTCCCTGCTCGACGAGATTGAGCAGCCGAGCGTCGCACAACACGACCGCCGCTATGTGCTTGTTTCCGAATCGAGCACCGATGACGATGGCAGCACGCTTCGGGACCGGCGCCGGCGCAGCTTTGCTGACCGTGGGGGCATGTCGCACATCAACACCGACGTCCCAGACCCTCCCGTCTTTACTGAGCGCGTGAGGGCGCCCTATGGCTACTCGAAGCCCCAGAAGGAGTCTACCGCGCCCTCGCCTGCAGACTACATGCGCTCGCCAGAACCAATCACGCCTTCGAACAGCAGCCATCCCAGGCCAGATGCGAGCAGACCGTCGAGACCGATGCCAACTGAAAGCCGACACAATTCCTACACGTCGCCGGCGTCAAAGAAAGAATACGTGTTCGACTCTGACTCTGACTCCGAAGCGCACAGCACGACCCACCTGCGAACCGAACGAAAGCCCGCGCGGTACAGCTTCGTGAAGAGCGACCTGCAAAGGGAGGACCTGAGGACAAACCTGCGCGATACACAGGAGAGGCCCGAGCCGCGTCGACACGACTCCGGGCAGCGTCCTCTGCCGACGATACGTAAGGGTGATTCGTCAGGCTCGTACAAGGAGTACCCCAATGCTGAGTCGCCGCGGTCGTCTTCGTCTTCGGTGCACAGCACGCGGCGATCGAGGCCTGTGCCCGTAGATACTGTCTATGCTAACAGCTCACGCCCGCTGTCCAGACCAAGCTCGCCATCGTATCGAGCGCCCTCGCCTCAGCTGCCTACCCGACTGCGAGACTCCCCTCCAGGCTCTCGACCATCGTCCCGCGGTGGCCCTCGGCCAACCTCTCCGCTCGCTTCTTCGTTCCAACCTTCTTCGCCCGGCCGCGGTCGCGGACCCGTATCCGAGTCAGATTGGCACTCCACCTATCCTCCAGCACCTTCCGACGACAGGTCAAGACAACCCTCTCGATATGGCCGACATGACACCATGCCACTCCCGAGGCCTCGCATCGATGTGCACAGTCCATCTCCCGCGAGGCAATCCACAGGCGACTCTTTGCCATATCCCATCGACGACCAGCTCATTGACGTCTTTATGCCACCCGAAGAGCACTATCAATTCGATCATTCCACCGTCTGCTCACCGAGGCAAAGCTACGTTGACATCCCGAGAGCGACGTCGCCGGCAATTCCTAGCTCGCCGTACACGCGAGATCTACCTTCCCGGGCTAGGAGGCAAGACACAGAGACATTGGAGGAGCCTTCACGACCAAGGAGGTCCAGGTCGGGTAGTTTCCGCTCTCACGATGGCCGCCGTGACAGGTCATCTCGAAGGACTGCTTCAATGGACAGAAAACTTCCAGACTGCCCAAGACCTTACAAATCTGGGCCTTACGATGATTGGTACGCGCTCCAAGACAACAAGAACTTCAACATTTGCCCTAGTTGTTACGAGGGTGTCTTCGCCGGTACACCCTTCGACGTAGACTTCAAACAGGTATGGCTGAACGACTATTCGTTGGAGCGGAGCTGTGATTTCAGCAGCCCATGGGCACGTCTTGCGTGGCTGTTGACGCTTCAGCGAGGTCGCAAATCGCTCGATCTGATCAACGCAATTGCAGGTGTCATGGACACAGTAGCCAAACCGTGTCCTGGAGATCGTGAGGCTGGTGCAGAAGACCGCATTAGCTGGTACGGCATTACAAACCCACGCGACGGTACCCGTGTAGCCAACTTTGCTATATGCTCGAGCGATAGGAGGATGCTTGAGGCCTTGCTGCCTTCTCTTCGTGGTTGCTTCGCTAAGATGCCGAAGGACGACAGGCACGTATGCAGCTTGCGTACGAGCTCAACCCGCTTCCCAAAGTATTTGGATCTGCTCGTCGAGCTAGATGTCGAGGCTGAGTTGTCCGGTCAACTCCCTGATCTGAGCCGCTTCGTCCTATTGCTCCGCGAGAATTCCTACAAAGGCGAGTGCCAAAGGTACAAGATCTTGTTCCGCAAACCATGGCACTTCATCCCTTCGCTGCCAGAGTTCACAGTCTGTGAGCAATGCTACGACGAGCTCATCTGGCCCGCCACACAATCCAGATCCACGTCATCGTCCATACCGCACATGTTCAACAAGTCGATCCAGCTAGTCCCTGGTGAAGATCCTGATGTCGGGTCCAGCTGCTGTCTGTGGAGTCCAAGGATGCGCGACGTCTGGAAGGAAGCTGTCAGATACGACGACTTTTCTTACCTGAAGGACACAGCGAAAGAGAGAAAGAGGGCAGAGTCCAAGTATATGAAAAACAGAGTACGCATCATGACGTGGATGGGCGACGCGGAAAAGGGGACTAGGAAGTGGAAGGAAGCTGAGGATGCGATGAGGGAGCTAAAAAAGAGTTGGTATACTTACGAATGATGAGGTTATGATTGGAATGGGATATGTAGAGTCAATGAGAACATGGTTATTACTATTACTGCTACTACCGCTTTGTTGGTACGATAATTACCTTATCTTTGGTACCGAGTGTGGATTTGAAAACTGGCTTTGATTTAACTCCCACGACTTTGCAAAACCACATCCCCATTCCAAACTGCCTTATATGAAAAATGAATTTCCTTGAGATTTATTCCCTCGATATTGAAGCCGCTAGAATGCGTAGCGAGGATTTCTCGGCGATGAATTCCTCTATGATACCACACCTTGGGTCCTCGTCAAACCCCTCCCAAAGCTACAACTCTGACGATCGGGTACAAACCAAGTAAAATTGCACACTCGTCCCAGCGCTTTACCGCAGTACCACTAACCTACAACCCAGAGCGCCCCAAGAAGAAGAAATGCCAACACCCGGCGAACGTCAGACAACCGTCGCCAAACCCCCCCTTACGCGGGATCAATACCGCATACGCAAGTTGACTAAGGAGAACGCGAGACTCAAACACGAAGTCGAGGAAAGGGATAACAAAATCTCTCGGTTGCAAGAGTTTCATCAAGCATTGGAGAAAGACTTGGCCGATGAGAAGGAGCAGGGGCTGGTCTGGAGAAAAGAATCGGGTACTGAGAGCTGGCGAGCGTGGCGGTTGAGTACTGAGTTGTCTAATATCAGGGACAGACTCGAATTCTTTCGTGGGTTGGCTGATGACAAGGTTTTATGGCCTGATGGAGACGAGACCGAGGACGAGGATGACGACACTGAGGAGGAAGATGAAGAAGATGAGGATGACGAAATTGAGGAAGCGTAGGAATATGAAGAGGGCTAGATGAGAAGGCGCATAAGGAGGAGAAAGATGTTGGGATCAGGAGTGGATGTCGCTGGCGTTCGTTTGCGCCACAAACAGGAGACGAAGCTGATCAGGTCGACAGACCGCGGTAGTATCATTTGATGCGAGCTCCTCTTTCGAACAAACACAGTCTGTTGGTGTCGCAAACACTCACTGCTCATTCAATGTCTCTCGCGAAATGTATATAGACCAGCGATCTGCACTTCCACATTGACACCTACATATATATCCTCCACCATCTTCCACTCCTCCTTCGGAACAAGTGCTGCATCGATATCGCTAGCGATGTCGCCGACGCCCGTTTGCAGAGCAGGCCGGGGTCGCAGGTACGCAACTCGCCACCCTCTCCTTTCACTACAACAGAATCAGCGGAAGAACGCGTCGGCTGACCGCAAATCTAGTTTTTCCGTCGCTTACGGATTGTGCGCCCACGGACCTTTTTGTTGTTTTGACGACTGATATCCCCGCTTTCTTGTTGTTTCTTCCAACGCACACGTCCGTATACACGACACCGACGCCACCATGAGGGACCTCGACGGCAATGAAGTTGACATGCGCGACCTTCTCGAGAACAATGTCGACCAGAAGCCTCCTGAAGATGATGGCAGTGTGCGCGCATCTCATTGTATCGCGGAGTACAACTACGCCATCAAGACCTTCAAGATCCCCGACAGCGCGGTTCCGCTGCCCAAGCTCTTCGACATCTACTTTCACCCCAACCGCTGCGATGTGCCCGTCGCTCCTGAAGACCTCCAGCTCGGCGTCTACTTCTCCAGTTACAACACCATCGCCCGCGATGGCTTCATCGCACAGAAGACGCAGCATATCAACATCATTCGGACCATCTGGTTCTACGGTTTGGATTGCGCCCATGCGTTCACCATGTACAGCCGCCATATCCGTTGGAACGTCATCATCATGTCCTTCCTTTGGGCAACTGATTTCAACGAGCGGTACTGCAAGCCTGGATGTGGACCTTTCGTCATACAATTCATCAAAGTAAGTCAGTTGTTCCCTTAATATGTTAGCCTGTGTGCCTTCAAGTCATCATCAGCTTCTCTACATGATCTGAGAAGTCTTTGAGGCCCTCCTGGCTGTATCATGACCCTAACATCCAGCTAACATCCATCAGGCCTGGATGGAGTCACTAGTCTATCAACACGACATCTCCGACAACTGCTTCGTCGAACGCGAGGCCTTCATCAAGTTCTGGAGGAATGGCCCTTTCGACTTATACTACTTCGGCAAGAGCGATCAGAAGAAGATGACCGGCAGAATCGCATACCTGCACAAGCAGCTCGAGATGGTAGACCTACCAAAGCATGATGACATTGTGCAGGCGATGCGGGGCGGTAAGGTCGACGAGGAGAAGTTCAAGAAGTATGGTGCCGTGTTAGCCCTCCAGTGGGTTATGGGACGAGAGCAGCGCGCGCGGAAGGAGCAGGAAGAGGTCGACCGCGAGAACGAACTCAACCAGTCTGATCTGGAGTTGGCTGAGGCGGATAGGGAGGTCGCGGAAGCGAAGAAGCAGGTGGAGCTCACTGCTGCAGCCCTTGAGAACGTCGACGAGATGGAAGAAGATGATGAGGAAGAGGAGGAAGAAGATGGCTTCGATCCCTTCCCCAAAGAGTACCATCCCCGTCTCTCTACTGTGCCTTGGGATGATATAGATGGCATTGTTCTGCCACTGCTCATGTCCGTGGATACAGCACTTCCTCATCCCAAGAAGGTACGCGAGCAGGACCGTCCCAAGCCCCATGAGGACACTTTCTACATCACCAAGGCACAGGTCTTCCAGGGTGTCTTCGGGGTCACGGATAGCGTGAATGAGGAGTTGGGTGAGGGCATGTTGATGCTTACATCGATGATGCACACCAAGTTGGACTAGGTCATGATGAGCTATTAGGTATACGAGTACTTCTGGAAGACATGCCTGAAGCCCGATAATACGTTGAGGTCGATCAGGAGACTAGATGCAGATACCAATACAAGCTGAAAATGTGTTGAAGATGACCAGGCTCCGTGATGTTTTATGGACGTGAGGCTGTGAGATTGTAGAGCGGGGCGGAAGAACAATGCACCGAGCCTCGGCTCACCCCCAGCTTCCAACATCCGGGGCGAGCTCCGATGACGAACATCCACCCGTGTGTCGCGATGGCTATCCATATTTCTCCTTACGACGCTTCCACTCTTCATCCAATCTTTACTTCCCTTCAAAATGGATAACAGCTCACTTTTCGATGTCAAGGTACGTACCTGCAATGCCCATCTGATCACTTTACTGACTCTCATCAAGGGCAAAGTCGTCCTCGTTACAGGCGGCGCGAAAGGCATCGGCCGCATGATTAGCGAGGGTTTCATCCAAAATGGCGCCACTGTATACATCTCCTCACGCGATGCGAAGGCTTGTGAGCAAGCGTGCAAGGAACTGAACGCGCTCGGAAAGGGCAAGGCCGACTTCATCGCCGCGGATCTGTACAAAGAAGACGCAGCCAAGAACATAGCCGATGAGCTGAAGAAGAGAGCAGGCAGTAAGTCAATCATGAGCTATGATCCACGCTATCACCGCAAGACAACGAGCAGTCGCTAACACTGCACAGAACTTGATGTCATCGTCAACAACAGCGGAAGCAACTGGGGCGAGTCCTACGACAACTATCCCGCTGCTGCATGGGACCGTGTCCTCAACCTCAACCTAAAGCGCGTCTTCCAGCTCACACAAGCTGTTACGCCCCTTCTCGAAGCCGCTTCTACCCCGAGCTCCCCCGCACGCATCATCAATATCGGCAGCGTCGACGGCTTGCGTGTCCCCGCGCTCGAGACTTTCGCTTACTCCGCTTCCAAAGCCGGCCTTCACCACATGAGCAGAGTGCTGGCAAGCCACCTGGGCAAGCGCGGTATTACAAGTAATACGATCGCGTGCGGTCCCTTCCAGAGCAAGATGATGAAGGCCACATTGGAGAAGTTCAAGGACGTCATTGAGAGCGGGATACCGTTAGGACGCATCGGCAGCCCGGAGGACGTTGCAGGCACATGCATTTGGTTGTCGAGTCGAGCCGGATCATATGTGAACGGGGCTACTATCGCGCTGGATGGTGGTAGTGTCGTCGGCGCCAAGTTGTAGAGATATTCACTATGTACGTGTAAAAGATTTAGAGTTCGCGGAGTACAACGCATATGTGGCGCAGGACACGTTCGCTATGTTGAAGCGTGCTACTAACAAGCCTCACAATCGATATAACAGCACTTGGTCCGCTCTAGGTGAAGGCGACATATCATCGCGCTGCGAACTTCTCTTCCTACCCAATCTGCTATATCTATTACTTCACTCTTTGCCCATACTCTACATTGCTAACAATAAGTATGTATCCTCCACGGTCGTGGCGGGATAGCGCCAAGAAAAGGAAACAACACCAAATGTTACGCGTCTTTCGCAAAGATATTGCTGCGAGACTGCGCAGACTGGAAAGAGAAACGCAAATATCTTACCTCACTTCTTACTCTTATGCACCTATACAAAAAGAATGGCGGCGGCAGCTGCAAAAAAAGACAAAAACAAAAAACAAGACAAGGTAGCTACGAACCGGTCTAAACCTAACTTTGCACGAACGACCGGAAATCATAAGATACAAAGCAGATTCGAACCGGCGCACTTCCTAAACGAGAACGGACTGGGACAACGGACTGGGACAAATGTTGTATAGGCAGGTCGGAGACCACTATACCGAGTCTTGTAGGAGATATCTAGAATAATAGCCTTTATATAGATGGTTTGAATCCCAATATGTCAATATTTTGGCCGTTCGAATCGCGATATCCATCATGTGGGTGGGCAGTGAAGGGAGTGAAGGTGCGAGTGAGTGGGCGGTGCGGGGGCGGGGGCGGGCTCAGTGAAGGGATGAATGACTGAGTGCAAGCACGTAATTGAGAGCCAGTGCGGCCTTTCACCATCTGATAATGGCGCAGATAGTGAGATAAACTGCGACGAAGAGTCCATCGACACCTCCATCCTAGAAGCCTACTTGAATACGTGTATTACTCGATTCATGGCCTCTGCTAGACACTAAAGACTACAGGACTTGTACAGACGCTGTCGAAATAACCTTCACGACTGTAACCCAAGACATATCAGTATTCGCGAGTGGGAAGTCGAGACCTTCAACGGTTATTGAGTAGATATTGCTACTATCGAAACGCTCACGAACCCAACGCAGCAGACGTCGTTTTCCATGCTTACGTATTAATCTAGGACTACTGCTCCGGTGTATCGATCTTGATCAACGAATGACAAGACGAGAATCCGAAGCTGTCCGCGCTTTCTTTCCGTCCTGGGAGAGCGTGGAGTCATCTGTAACAATACCGTTCGTGATACCGATCGATGATCCGGCCGGCAGCTCAGTATCGGGTAATATGGGCGTGCTTAGGATCGTCTCTATGGCGAAGTCGACGTAGAAGAGATAGAAGCGGTGCAAATGTGTTCCAGTGATAAAGGTGGTGCCGAGAATTGTCGAGCGTATAATCTAGTCGCTGATGCATCCGGACGCAACGCCGGCACGAACAATTAGTCAAGAGACCTTGCCCAACGAGATACCTGATACTAACATCCTTGAGAGGTCGTAAAAAGATACCCGGGTCACGATACCTTCACAACTGTCACTAGACGCTCCGTTTGAGTGTCTCGAGAAGATAGTCAAGACTGCATACGAGCATGAAGACCTAACAAAGGGAGCACTTATATAGACGATCCTCTGAAGGCGGTATGGCAAAGCTGCTGGAGTTCATGTTGGATTACACTGGGCATACCTACGTTCATATCGCGACCCAATGTAGGCAGAGCCAGCGAATGACGTCATCGAAGCCAGTGCAAAGTCGCACGCAACGCAGATACATACAGAAAATTACTACGATAGTAAACATCAGTTCCGCGTCATTTACACGGTAAAGAGTATCGTGCATACGACGACACGCAGTATTAATGGGTTACCGGGTGGCCGGTTCGCTGCCCAGGTGATGTACACAGCGGCGCGAGCCGAGAATCATCCAAGATTGACGACGCGCTTTGCCATTGGCTAGCGGCCGGGCAGCAGGGTAGTCAGTCATATGCCCGTTGCGAAGATGTATTTCTTATTCCTACATAACAGGCAAGTCTCAAGTCAACCCAGCAAGCATGGCGCGGCTGAACTAGTCTACCAGGAAAAAGCATCCACATGCAAATCAAACACAGTCTTGCTGCCTCTCCCCAGACCTGCTACCAAAGCTCGCACCTCATCGCACATATCCGCAGGACCGCATACGACAACACCAACCTTCTTGTAGCCAAAATCAATCTCCTTTTGGAGCAGGTTCCTAATAGCGAAGCGCTGTCCGACGAAAACCTGCTTGTCGGCGACGTTTGCGATGGCCGTGCCCATCTCATCAACTAGAGCTTGATCTGACGCTTTGACGCTCCACGCCAACTTGACGTTTGGATGAATAGAAAGCCAGCCCAGCAGACCAGTGATACCGATACCACCTCCAAGCAACAACAAATGATCAGCCTCGAGAGCCTCGGTGCTGGCTGAATGTGGATACGGTCCGTCTAGGATTGTAAGCAGCCGAGCGTTCTTGTTCAACATCTTCGTTATGCCAGTCCTCTTCTTGATGATAAAGGACACCCCCGTCGTGCTTGCTGGATCTCTGACGTTGCGCGTAACAGGAGTCACCTGCGCTTTATCATCAGGAGATTTTCCTTCGGCGTGACTGCCGTCCGATGTGGAATCACTCGAAGACGCCAGTGCTGGGGCATGCCTGTAGCTTCGGAACAAGACAGATGAGTTGATAGAGAAAGGGTGGTTCTCCCACGGTCGCAGCGGGTGCAGCGTTGGAAATCCAACGTAGCCAACATAGCCTAGCTTCGCCGCCCATCGCACACCAGGAAGATCAACTCGGACGTAATTGTCTCCCACTTCGGTGACATCGGCGTACTGCATGCCATTCTTCAGCACGCGTAGCACGCGGACAAGACGATCAAAGAACCATACTGCGATGGCAGCGTAGAGCCAGTTGTCGTAGAAGTTGTAGCCCCACTTTAGGATGACATGGTACCAGCAACCCACGATGACGAAGACAGCAAGTATTATATGAAGGATAAGGAAGACCTCGTAGGCGAGGCGGCGGAAATAGAGAACGCTCAAAACCAGCATAGCGCATGTCAATACAGTGGCGACGATACCCCACAACCAATACGGCTTGACGGACTCGACTGGATAGCTGCCTGATCCTTGGTAACACAGCAACAGTGCGATACTGTGCACGATGGCTTGGACGGCGAAGATGCGAGCGATCCAGCGGTGCAGCAAGAGGTACGTGCCGTAAGACCAATTGGTGATCCAGAGCAAGAAGTTGTTGCGGCTCGAGAAGAGAATGACAAGGGGCAGGAGACCATATCCAATGTGTCCAGTGCGATAGCCAATGTAAGAGAGCATCTCCGATTTCTTCGAGAAGCCCCATGGATGCGGCTGCGAACTACCATAGTTCACCGAGCTCAAAATGACGTTGAGAGCAAAGAAGAAGAATATGTACGCGGCTTGCCCGACAGTCGGTGCGTTACCGATGAGCCAAGGCAGCGGACGTACTTGGTACGAGCCGATTGTAGACGGATACACAAGATAGGGTCTGAGCTTGTCGAGTAAGCCAGTCGCGAACGGCAGCTTGCGAATGAGTGTGCACAGGATTGGAATGCTGAAGCCCAGGACGACCATGACAATACTAATTATATATTAGAGAAACTCGTTGACTGACGGCGGCTCTACTCACACATATCGAGCTTGCAGCGCTTCAATGTGGTCGAAAAGCCGGTTGAAGTTGAACTGGATATCATAGCTGGCGTCGCTGATCACCATGGGCATG